AGGCCAGGCAAACATTGTAGCAATTGAGAAACAAAAGGCATTTACATTTGTTAAAGTCTGAGGTTCTTGTTTAGCCATCCAACCATCCCCAGACTCCATCCTCCTCTTTGAAGGATGGAACAACATCACAGTATTTCCTCTTTTGTTACAGATGGACATTGATTACACTTTCTATAGAAGCTAGAGGGCTTTGTCACTTTATCACACAGACACACTGGGTATTTGGAGATTTTCTGATTGATGCTGTCATTTTTTAGTGATGTAGATGGTAAATGCACAATCATGTATTCACCTGATGAATAAGGGCACAGTTTAAAGCTCAATATCAAGTACAATGCAGCTGTGCAGTACTGCATTACTTTCCTCATCATCAGTGCTAATTTCTACTGTTGCAGACAGCCATGTGCATTCTCCCATTTACCATCAGGTGAATACATGAGTGTAGCTCAGCAGATTGTTATTTTAGCCATCACAGTTATCATATTGTAATGACATTAAACTGTCTTCTCTTTTTCCACACAGAGACTGAATGTTCTGTGCACGCCAGCAAAGGACTTACCTGCTGCAACACTAAAGAATGCAACAAATCATGAAGCATTTCAGACTTTCACAGGCTTGTACACACTACGCACAACAAAAAGTCCTGAGTAGAAATGACACAGCTCAAAATTCATCTTTTCTTTAAACTGCACATAAATGTGGCTCTAATAGTTTGTATTTCAGCTTATTAAAACAAATATTAAATAAACAAGCATACATTTTATTGCTACTGGAAATTAAAACAAGGAGTCTGGGAGAACTGATTTTATGGAAATAGTTCTGAATGTGTTTTTAGGAGGGAAAGAAACGTCTGATTAAAAAAAGAAATGTTTTTGCTATATCTCTTGTGTATGCTGTTTGGCAGTGTATAAAACGATGTGTATCTGAAGAGAATTACAGTATGTTAATGCTATTTACTAAATATTTATTGTTATAGGGTACAGTATGTTATAATCTTCATCAAAACTATCCATTGCAAGGGAGAGCAGACGTTTACTGCTCCTCTTGTCTGTTCTACGATTTTTCACATCTTCTACATTTTCAAGTCTTTGAACAAATTTTACAACTATTAAAATGCCTCCAAGAGGGAAAAGAGCTAATAAATCAGAAGCGAACGAGGA